TCAGTTCTGAACAATAAATATTATTTTATAATTAAAAGTCAATCTTTACCTGTATCTCTTACTTTCTCTTTATAGGAGATATAATCTAAATAACTATGTTAGTTTCGTTCATTTGGAAAAACTTATAATAATTTTTATGCAATTGAAAGCAACATAATGAGAAGTGAAAGAAACTAATGTGCAAGGTGTACTGTGGTTGGCATCCAATTTCATAAAACCAAAGAGTAGTTTAAATGAAAGACAGCGATATCACTGAAGACGCAGTTGATTAGAGCACTTTGTTTTCTTTTTAACTAAGATTTCAGACTCAATTTTAATAAGGTATTGATAGAATAGCTGACCCCAGGTTGGTGAAAGTGGACACTTAATTTTAATTAAATCCACACAGTAAAAGATGAATTGGATTAAATGCTAATAAAGGTTAAATAAATATTTTGGTAAAAAAAATAAAAATATAATTTTAATTATTTAAAATCAGCCTAAGACTGATGTTAATAAAACGAAATAGAATAAAAAGTAGATGCTGTGAGGTGTATTGCAGCGGAGAGAAGGAGGGTATGATAAAATAATAAAAATGAATGTTTCCACTCCTTGAAAGGGTAAAAGGGGCATCATCTGTTGGTCATCTTAACAATAAGCCAGAAGTGGTGTAATAATAATAACGGTTTTTTTAAATTTATATTTTGTAACATATAATAAATAATATTTTATCATTCAAAATTATAATTTCAATGTATCAATTTTTTTTCATTTTAATAAAAAATTATATTATATATATATATATATTTATATATTTATTGATAAAATAATAATAATAAAAATATTATTTTCAGTATGATTATGAAATTATTCAACAAGAAATTATTAAATAATATAAAAAATTTTATAACTTAGACTAATGTAATTTAATCTTTCCTATTTAATTAGTATTAAGTAATTTTTATATATAACAGGTAGACTAAATCTATTGTAACAAGAATGAAATAAGGGTTGTCGAAATACATGAAATAGTAGTTCTAATATTCTATTTAAAACTTGAGAAAAAAAATTATATATATTATATATACATACTGTGATATTCATTTATTTTAAACTTAAATTGATTAAAGTTAAACAATGTAAATAAAATTAGAAAATAACAAGTGAGAAATTGTTGATATTGAATTTTATCTATATAGCTCAATTGATCCTTAATATCATATAAATATGACTCTATTAATTAATATTATTGAGTTCTCTTAAGCTATTTTAAATAAATTTTTTACATTTAAAGTTACTAAGAATTATAATCTAATAACGATTCTTTAGTTTATCAAATTATGATTTTATATTAAGTTCAATAACCTAATCAATTAATAACTCTAAACTTATTACTAACATTTTGAGCTATTAGGTGATATGGTTTAGAAAATATTTTCTAATTAAAATCAAAGTCAAAAATCTAAAGATGAGTAATCAGTTCATTTAAAGTATTAAGAGTAAAATTACAATTATTAACACTGAATAATAGATATTATAAATATAATAAAAAAGAAATACAAGAGAGTTTGATTGGTTACATTCAATCTTAATAGAAAAGTGATTTAGCTACTTATTGTAATAAGTGTCAATCCTAAAATATAAGAGAAAATGAAGTAGAAGAATATGAAATGCTGATGAATCTCCTTATTCCTAGGTTGAACGCCTAGCTCCGTAATTTTCAGTGTTTTTTTTAATTTCTCTATTCGCTGTTTTTGTTCTTCTTTTGTTTTCTATTTATACCATATGGAGAGAAAGATCGCTCAGTGCTTGGAAAATAGTTAAGCAATTGAAAGAATTCTTCTTAATTAATAAACCTAAAATGCTAGGCTCTTAAAAAATCATTGGACCCTTCAAAAGCTGAGACCTTTATCATCTTTGAAACCAATTTGCTTAGCGCCTATACAACAATTGAGCGGTTGAGATATATTTTCAAACCTTGCTTTTTGACTTCAATCTGTTTAGTACTTCTCTAAAGATTGAACGGTTGAGAGACTTTAAATCTTTTAAAAACTTTTTAAGTTTTGCAAGGTCAAAATAAAAAAAATTAATTCTAAAAGCCAACAACTTTCAACAAAATACAGTATCTAAATGTCTAAAGCCAACAACATATCCTTTTAAATTTTTAAAGATAAAAAAGTAAAAAATAAAATTTTCATTTAAATCAAATTCTTAAATGTCTAAATCATAATTAAAATTTATACAAAATAAAAAAATAACAATTATTCAATAATATAAAAATCTCTATTCTAACAATATACTTAAATTAAACTCATATATAAATATATAATTTCTTAAAAAATATAAAATTGAAAAGACAAGAAGTCAATTAAAATAACAGAAACTATAACTCGAATATATTTCCTCAAATTATTTAAATCTAATTTTAAGAAATTCAACCTTATCAAAATAAGCATTAAACCGAATGAGATGGGTGAAACAGGTTAATCCTTGTAGCACCCTAACACAGATTAACTTGGTCATTGGTAAGAATGGGGTGCAACTTATGGCAACTACTTCTTCCTTGCGTGCTACCCACATTTCACATCGTAATTCGTAATTACTCGCTTCAACATCTCCATCAGTATTAAAGAAAATCACACATATATATGCTAATGAACAAGGGATTTTAAGCATATATGCTTCAACTTAATTAAAAAGAGATTATATTTTTATATTTTCTTAACAGGTAAAAAATTATTTACAAACTTATTTTACTTTTAAAATTATATATTTTATTATTTCATTATATTTATAAGCTTATTTTTACTCATCATATATTTTATATAATTTTTTTTGTTTTGTATAAAAACATTTTTAATTAAAAATAATATACAATTATAAAAATTAAATTATTCAATCAATTCAAATTGTTTATAATTAAATTAGTTTGGATATAGTTTTTTTTAATCAAATCAAACCCAAATTAAACTGCAATACGTTCTTATGATCAAATTAGACTACACTTTGCCTAAAAATCAATCCAATCCATTCTTATATGTTTCTAATAATTGTCATAATAATGCTAAACGCTTGTAAAAAATTATTAAAAATATAAATTCATCAAGAATTTACTGAATATCATTAAATCAATAGATTTGTCTTTATTTTTGTTCTTTTCATACTTAAAATGCTGCTCCTTAATTGTCACGACAAATAAAATGAAAAAGACAGGAGAATGTTAATGATATATATTTTTTAAATATAATTTTTATCATAATTAACTTTTTATGAGTAATTACTTTTAAAATAATTAATTTATAAAATAAAGTGTTTTAATACCTTGAAAAATTGATCAGCCACAGAACGTAGAAAAATATGTTAAGAATACTGCTAATCTTTCTCCTTTTGGATATTCTATTTCTCACGAGTAGCTAGGGACGAATCACGACCAGCTTTATATGAAAGCAACATTTGACCAGCTTAAGACCCAAAGTTTGGCAGAAAGTAGATACATACGATTTAACGACCAAGCTCTCTAGCTTTCCCCTTAGGATAAAATGTCTATAACCACAAATTACAAAATAAACAAGCCACTCATCATTCCCTTTTATTGCATAATACATATCCACAAATTTAAAGGTTCGTATATAATATATTTTATCCAAAATTTAACATTATCATGGGTCATGTTTGAATCGCATGAACCACTTATCTCACGAGTTAGAATAATCTCTATTTACGTAAACAAAGAAGAGTTCTTTTCCCTAACTTACAACTTTATGACATAATACGAACACCAAATTCAGCCATTTTTATTTTCCCTATAAGCTGAGAACCCATGATGCCAATTGTGAACTTCCGTTTTCGTTTTAATTCGACAGCACCTTTAAACAAATATGTACACAAATTCAATCAATCGATATCATTGAATGGGACACCATTTTTTTAAAATTAATATCATTATATTCTATTTAAAAGTAAAGCTTTAAAAACATACAATTTTAACTAATATTTTTTACTTATTTTTAAGATTGCCATTCTTTCCTTTTGATCATTTTTCCCAAACTAAGTAAGAACTATAGCTTTTTTAAGCCATAGATATTGCTTACGAGAGTCAATTTAATTTAAATCAGAATATTCATCATGCAGTTTTCTTTCAGCAAGAGACTTGGAAAGTTCGCAGTCACAGTCTTAGAACTACGAGCATACGTTACGCTTTGTGTAATTTTAAAAGTTGTAATTAATAAAAGATTGTGTGTGTGTTTGAAACATACTTAAAAAATTTATACATATAAAAGGTATAACTAAAATCTTGAAATAAATGCAACTCGATATCTATTTAAATATGAATCCAAACATACTATAACTCATCTGATTTGCTAGTGAGGAATTAAGTTAAATTTTAAGACAATTTTTATCGATAAATAATTAATATATAAATTTACCTAAATTTTCCTTGAAATTAGTAATTTTATCTAACCTCATGCGAAGACAAACGTTCTCCCGGTTTAAACTTTGGCATAAAAAAGGTTGCTGCCAATGAAAAACATGGGGGATATGATTATTTAATAGTGTGAGACTAGTTTAAGTTTGATGTTTATCTAGAAAAGAACCATGATGCTAGAAATAATGAGTTGATTCATGAAACAATTAGCTGCGGAGAAGATTATTAATTAAGAACAAAATAAGATTAGACAGGAGCCATTTGATTTGATGTTTGAAAAGTGAAAGGCAATTAATATTCACAACCTCATAGAGCCATAATCGAAAACACAATTTGTTAAAAAGTGAGAACCCAAATTAATGATTCGACAACACTTGGATATCATCCCTCATTAGCTGTCACGGTCCCCACACTCACAGGCCAAGTCAACCAATATGATCTCTCCCCCACAGTCACACGCTTGTAATATTTTTCACAACCACTTCCACCACATTCAAATCCAATCCTCCTTTCCATTGCACTAATAATTGCCTCTTCTTAATACACTCTATATATAGCTTCACAACTTTGCATGCACTTCAGCATTAGCCAAATACCTCTATTGGCATCTTGTGTTCCTATTTCTCTCTCTAATATAATTGGTTGCTTTATTCACAAACCAACCAAATTAAAAGGGTTGTTTTGAAATGAAAATTAAGTTCCCTATTGGGTTTATTCTTCTTCTTGTAGCCACCTTTGTGGTGGCTGCCACCGCTGGTGACTTTTACAAAGACTTTGAGTTAACATGGGGTGGTGACCGTGCCAAAATCCTTGAAAATGGACAGCTTCTTACTCTGTCCTTAGATAAGGCTTCTGGCTCTGGGTTTCGTTCCAAAAACGAATACTTGTTTGGAAAAATTGACATGCAGCTCAAGCTCGTGCCTGGTAACTCTGCTGGCACTGTCACAGCCTATTATGTAAGTGTCCTTGTTAAGTTCTAGCTCTTAATTAGTACACTTTTACTTTTATGTCATTGAATTTTTACACTATAGTTGTACACATATTTTAAATAAGTATTCAACTTTTAAAGTTGAATTTATGTATTTAAAGTAGTAAATTCTTATATTATATTAAAATTATAAAAGGGTAATAACTATTTTTTAATAAAATTTTATTATTATTAGCTATTTAAATTTAATTTTAAAGTTAAAATTAATATTTTTTAAATAATTATCTTATAAAAACTTATTACATGATAATAATTTTTTTATAAACATGATTTGCTAAAATAAATTCAAAAGAGGTATTTTTGCAAGGTTTTTATCAAGATTATTATTGAAATAAGTTAAAATTTTACAAAAGAAAATCACAAATTAATTTTATAAATTTAAATAAATTATTTATAATTCATTCAAATTACATGATTAAAGAAAACGTAACTTTGAAAACAGTTGTTATAATCAAACATTTTATATTGACGTGACAGTGCATGAGATATGTGTTGAATAGAATGTTTGCATGAAATGAAATCAAATAATTAATAAATACTTTTACTTGGGATTGCTGCAGTTATCTTCCCTGGGTTCTACTCATGATGAAATAGACTTTGAATTTCTGGGTAACTTGAGTGGTGATCCATACATTCTTCATACGAACGTATTCACACAAGGAAAGGGGAACAGAGAGCAACAGTTCTATTTGTGGTTCGACCCCACTAGGAACTTCCACACATATTCCGTACAATGGAATCCTCAAAGCATCATGTATATATTCTTGCTTATAAAAAAAAATATTGATTTATATTTTTTATTTAATAAGTTTTTTAAGATATTAAGAAAATTAGTAAAATAATATAAGATTACTCGTAATCATATTTCTTTCCCAAAATCAACTATAGCTAAAAGGGATACTAATTAATAACTTTATTCACAATTTACCTTCTTATTACTAATATTATTTCACACAACAGATTCTCTGTGGATGGTACACCAATAAGAGAGTTCAAGAATTTGGAGTCAAAAGGGGTTCCATTTCCAAAGAACCAAGCCATGAGGATATACTCTAGTCTTTGGAATGCTGATGAGTGGGCCACAAGGGGTGGGCTTGTGAAAACAGATTGGAGCAAAGCCCCATTCACGGCCTCATATAGAAACTTCAATGCTCAAGCATGTGTTTGGACTTCTTCAGGCTCTTCATGTCCTTCCAACAATGCTCCTTCAGGCCAATCACTGGACGCCACGGGGCAAGCCAAGATTCGTTGGGTGCAAAAGAACTACATGATTTACAACTATTGCACTGATACCAAACGCTTCCCACAAGGCCTTCCTCCTGAATGTTCCTCTCCATGAATGCAAAAACATTACGTCTACTTGTCAAACCACACAGCAGCCATATGTCATACGTTAATTCCTGTTCTTTTGTTGTATAAATTGATAATTATAACTATCATTGTCGATTTATGCTTCGTGTGCATTATTCCATTGTTTGATATTCGTGTCAGTATCTATGCTTGTGCTGAAATTGTAAAGAATTTTCATTAATACAAGTTTATGTACTTTTGTAATTCGATTTGGATATTCGTAATTTCCTCCTTTTCAATCAAAATTGTCATTCGTAAAAGAAAATTATACAAACTGTGAATTGGAATGGAGATAGATAGCTTAGTATTATAAAAAATACTAAATGAGAGGGGTTAAAATTATTTACTTCTTTAAAAATTGAAATCGAACTAAATTATATTTTAATATATTTACAAAAAATTAATTTTCTTACGTGGCCAGTTTTTATGTACACAGAGTTTGAGAAGCATCTAGAAGAACGCATAATCATTATCAAATATCCTCTGAAACAGGGCAACAATCGAATAACGAAAATAATGCAAAGCTATGAATCATCATCCTCATCCACCTCCCAACAAGTGTCAGCTCCAACATAGAGCCATTGCTGACTCAAAAATACAATTAATATAAGTTACTTGGATTCGTGTCAAATAAAAGCAAATCCTCTTCTTTCTTTTAATGGGGCAACCAAAGTCTTGATTTCCACGTAGAAAACCTGCATCCTCAATAATTATTAATTCAAGATATTTCCTTTACATTATTGTGAAGATAAATATGCCAATAAAGTTCTTCTCTCAAATATGGCCAAGTGCTGTCTCAATATGGATTGATAATAATAGCTTAAGATGAGATGAACCACACAAAACAAAAGCAGAAAATTTGGAAAGAGGTTTCTTGTTGAAAGCATTAACAAATTAAGTCCTCAAGATTATATTTTCTTCAGCGAAAACCCCAATTATTTTTTTTTTAATTTAGTTGAGTGTATCATAGTTTGAAATTGAATAAGGGCTAAGGATCCAGCAGGAACTAAAGGAAAACTAAACAATAAAGGTGAATTATTCTGTAGTAATTCAATTTATTTTTTCAAAGTTCTCAAAAATGTATTACAATTATAATAACAGATAATTTTATTAAATTACATTAACTCAAATTCATTGAAGTTTTTTATTATTTATTAGTTTTCAAAGGATTTGGCTTCTATATAATAAATTAATTCGCTCAATTATTAAGAGTTGTGACGTTTATCATCTTTCGGTTCCTCAGCTATAGCTAATGGGTCACACACGCAGGGGCCTTATGTAACAAGCATTAGAAAAATAAAAAAATTGAACCAAAAGAAAAAAATATTAGATGTTAATGCCACGGAATTTAATGATAATCACGATAAAGATTAACAAATAAGCATTATTTTTAAATTATTTGAATTTAACACATTAAAATTTATTTAGCCAAATAAATAAGATTTAACAAATTTAAGTTAGAGTTGGCTATTTAAATGCATTAAGTTTAGGTTTTATAAGCTTCATATTACCGACTTGCATATGTATGAAATACCTAGAAAGTTATAATTTCATTTTGTATATGAAATCATCAGCTTTAGTTTGGATTACCCTTTCTTAATCAACAATGCCTAATCAAGAATGATCAATAACACTGCCTAATCAACACTCCTTACTTTTCATTCGCTTATCAATCAGCACCACCCTCAAACTTATTTTCTTTTATACATTTGGGTGGATAATGAAATTCTCTTTTACTCTTCATTTGCCTTTCTTTATTAGTTTGCAGTTTAATCAACAAGTCATTCTTCAAATAATGTAAAATGAAATATTTATAAATGTTTAATAAATAAAATCCACAACTTATAAATTATTAAGATTATTTTTCAATTAATTAACTTTCACAATATTACTAAATAATCCCTGCAGTTCAATTTATAACAAATTTGTACGAATAAAATTGATTAAACCTGTCACTATTTTTTTTTTTTTACAAAAAAGGTCTCATATGCTAACTTTGTCATGAATTTAATAAATTGACTAAATGTGCTGGTTGTAATTAAGAAAACACATAGGTTAATTAGTTGCTTCAATCTCTAACATGGAAAACTTTACAGATTTTCTACTATCTGATACTAGAAAGTTGTTGACTGCAGCCTTCACATGTATGTGCTTCAACAAATGAAGAATTTGAAATTTGTTGAATTAATTCTCAGGCAGTCTTCTTCTTCATTCTGGTAAATTCAAAAAGTTAAATACATTCATTTTCCTCTTAAGACAACTTCACAGATCCTCTTGCCAAAATGGATATTAGAAAGGAATGATTCAAACATCTATAATTCTTGCTAAGATTGTCTAAATCTAACTCTCTAGGGTTACTGTGAAGCTAAAGTCTATATAATTCTTGCTTAATTTCTATTATAATTTCCCTAGTTGCCAAAAGAAGCAGCAGAACAATTTGGATCATGATGCTATATATATATAAATAGAAATAATTGCCACATAAAAGTTTCTCCTAGACTATAGTATTATGCTATCAAGCTTGCATTCTTTAACAAAATCCTGAAATTGTGCCAGCAAATTCAGTAAAGGTGATGGAAAAGATTATTACATTGAGAGAATTCAAATTGGGGTAGAAGATTAGAACCAAAAACCACATGAACATCTAAGGAAAGCTTGTTTGTATTTTGTAAACGTGTGACAAGTGATGTCAGTTGTTGATTTCCCACAACTTCCTATCTGCAATGTAATAAATTACAACTGTTTTAAGAATCTAGTCTATAAGATTGCCTATAGGATACAGGGCATATTTCCATATTGCTTGTTTCACATTCATAGGAACGATGTACTATATAAATTTTTCATGTATTCTTGGTTTTAAGTCAAATTCATTGCAACGGCTTTGCACACAGATTATAACAGTTTAAATTTCATCAAATGAGTATTTTGCACATTAGAGCCAGTGAAGACTTGCTGTAATGAAATTATAGCCAATAGTACAGGTAGATGAATTATGCATTTTGAAATAAATCAATTAAAATATTTCCTTGCATTAATGTTTAACTCTTCCGGAATAAACTCAGTGTTTTAATGTCAAATCATTACCAGTGTAACATTGCAAATAAAATGAAACTACAAGGATATAGTAGGCAACATATGATCAAACAATTACATCACTTCAATTTCACAAGAAGGTCAATGCATGATATGATATATAATTAACAGGATCAAATTGAAGAAATATAACTACAAAATTGTCTAATTTCCATACCTTCTTTTTCTTTGTCTGGTTAGGAGAACAAGTATTCCAAACCCTATAATGATTGCAACTTTTATTACCTGGGAGATGAATATGTGAAAAAGGGGCAGATATAAGCATTCTTCAACAATAGTTGAGAACAGGATATTACTAAAAATGAGAAATAGCAATCTATTCTACTTCTATTTAAGCTTGAACTACTATATCCAAATACAGGATAGATATATGCGACATTGCATGCACAAACTCATTGCCTAACTTGGGGCCAGTGCTGCAAATATGAAAACAGTGATTATTTTTCCCAGATTAACACTAATAATATTTAAAGTTGAACAAGCAAGAATTTCTACTTGAATTTTTATTGTAACCTGATTAATCGGTCCTCCAGAACTTTCATCTCCATTATCATTAGAAGTCTTGGTCTTTGATTCTTTAATTTCCTTTATCTTTTCATCCTTGCTCCCTTCAGTTCCAGTTGCAAGATATGGTGCATTCTGTTTCACAAAAATAAAATACAGTAGAAGAAATTACATAATTTGATTCTATTAATCAAATTGTCAATTTATATATTTAAATTCACTTCTCATCTTAAATGTTCCTGTCAGAAAGGAACAGCTCAATATGTGGTACTAAATATGGCATATACAAAATATAAGGGCAATGAATATGTTATCATAATAAAAAGTTTAACTTTGATAACTGATACAAACCCTTATACTTCTATGCTAAGTCGATATGGAAGCTTCAATGAACATGTAAGATAATGCCAAAAAGAAATCTTGTTTGGTTTGTTCACAAAAGGAAGAATAATGAGTCCTCAGTCCTATGCGATATACAGCATAGAACTGGTATCTTGATAGTCTTCCTTGTTTCATTGTTTTTTTTTTCTCAGGTTTTCTCATTGTGTGAGAGATTTTATCTCTAAATAGACTTTATACCTGTTCAACATTTTCTACTTTTAAGAATTCCAAACTTCCTAACATCCCACTGTAGCCTCTAATACTTTAAGTACTAGCTTTTAGACAAATCTTTTTTGGCCATTTGGGAATATCCAGACTCCTGAACTTCGTAAAGAATAATACTTATTGCCAAAGTGCAACACTTAAGGCATTTCCCCTTCTTTTCTCTTCTTATTTGTTACTTCTAGAATCTTTCTTAGAACTGAATAGTGTGTAAGGATGGTTATCTGATGCTTCTAATCTATCATCACTAAAACTGTAGCTGTTTCAAATGTAGATGTTCTCATCAAGTATTTGTTATTTTCTCTTCCTCTAAATATGTTTTATGTGTTACTTTAAATATATTTCTCACCCTTTCTTGCAAGAAATCTGCCTGCTCAGTGGTCCTTGACTTATCTTGCTCCAAGTGCTGAGTCTTGGAAGAATCTTTCCTTTCAATTATACTTGCTTGATATTTTGTTGGAGGTGGTTTAATATGAGATCTCTTATCCTGTTTTAAGACAAATTCCATGTGATCCATTTCTTGAGTAGCTTGCAATTATACATTGATGATGCTGTAAAAGCACAACACTTACTAGTTACTATACCTGAGCCAACCCACTTTCAAAAGCACTTATCATTTTCCTCACATTACTGGGAGTTCTATCTGGTGGAGTCTTCTTCTCAGAATATTGAAGACCTTCTTCCTCTAGATTAGGTTGTATCAGATTACTTTTTCTGACATCCTTTTTGTCTGAGCCTAACAATGTTGCCATTTCTTCTGAACCAATAGCTCCTTGAGGATGTTTCTTAGATTGTGACTGATTGGCTGGCTTTTTATCCTTGTGTTGTAATTGAGTGAGTTTAACTTCTTGTGATACTTTTGTGGATGAGGTCTCTTTATGTTGATCTTCAATGTTCTAAAACATATAAAATGACCATTAAACAAACAACAGTACATTTTCCAATGTCTTCTTCTGGTTGGGACAAAAAGAGACTATGTTGTGCAAATTAATTAATCCTTAACTGTATTTAGCTGTTTCTGGTCAAGCTGAGTCCCTACTACATTTCTAGTATCAGATTCTTTATCATTACCGAGATCAACAGGATCTTGCAATTGAGAAACTGCTTCGCTTTGAAGGTGTTTCTTTGGTGATTCTTGAGAAGATGGAGCACTTAAAACATCAGGAAAAAGAAATTGAGGGAATGTAGGACCACATTCATAATTACTAAGTTTCTGTATATTTAATTCATTTACTCCTCTTAGTATTGTATTTCTGCTTTATATTTTCATTGTTTCTTTAATTAGCTAAGTAAGATCAAACCTGAGACCTCATCATTTGGGGGGAAGAGTAATGCAGCATTGCCAACAGTAGTACTAATGTCACTTTTTTCTGCACCTCTTGTACTGCTACTAAGAAGCTCATCGTGTTTTTTCTTCAATGCAGATTGTCTCTGCAAAATTAAGAATGAGAAGTTAATGTGGAGGCACTAATAACAACTACTTCAAATGCCTTCTTTACAAGTTAATAACATTCAGAGATTACTATCTATATGTATGTCGTGGTTATTCAAAGTGTCTATATTTTTTCTTGTACCAAATGTTTAAGAAATTTCATAAACATAGTACAATACAAATTGTATAAGGAAAATAAATTGATACCAATGAACGAATTCTATCACGCTCTTCATCATTTAGGATGAATTGCAACTTCAAATGCAGATGCCCCACCCCAAGGGGAAAAATGTCTTCCCAGACACCTTTTTCTAATATCAACCTAACTTCAACACCTGCCAATTGTTTATTACTTCTTGTTAGACAAAACTTTCTGTGTGACTAGCTTCAAAAAAGGCCAATTCAAATGGGATGTGTACTAAAAACCAACCTGTATGTGATATTTCCTTGCCCTCGGCATCCTGAATTTTAAAAATTAAATCATCGCGGAGGCTCGTTATGGGGCTGAATAAATACAATAGAACTAACACATTATGACTTAAAAATTGTAGTAACCACATCACAAAAACAAGGTAGATTCTAAGTTATTCTTACAAGGAAAAGTTTCCCTTGTCACTGATTTGGTACTCTATTTTTCCCAAGCAAACTGCATTCATTTACCGCTAAACTTAGTTATATTTAGCATTTGAAGGTGCTGGAGGGGAAAGGTAGGTACAAATTTAAAAGCAACATCATACCCCTTATGGATGTTGATGGAGATAATGGTATATCCATGAATTCCAGTACTGTAAAATGAATAGAATAAGAGAAGTAAGAAAAACCAACTGGGAGCTAAGGTGCTTGAATCACTGCTACTGCTACATGACAGTTATTACCTGAAACCAGGATGGTTCCTGGCATTGCAGGGAGAAGAATTCAATGAAGACAAAACAAGTTATCCAAACAAGAGAGAGAGAGAGAGAGAGAGATTAGATAGACACTATTTACTATCCTCAACTCTAGATTCTGATCTAGGATGAGTGCTTAAGCAAAGTAGCATAGCTTGTGTTCTCTGACTCTATTGGTTAAGTGACAGAAAGATGGAAACAGGATGGAATTGGGAAGAATGGATATGGTTAGAATCCAATGAAACCAGCTTTTGTGGTCCTTGTAACCTTCAAGCCATTTATTAGCCATAAAAGCTTGATAGAGAAATTTCCGTTTTGTCTCATTTGTAACTTATAAGCCCTGGTCATAGTTAATTTTTTCTGGCAATTCAAAATTAGACGTGTCACTGTGATTGGTGTTAAGTAGTTCTAGTGCAAGTACATATTATTGCTTAAGCGGTTAAATAGATAACTGTAGGACACGATTTATGGTAAGGGGTTTTATCCATTGAATCTCTTATTTTTCCCCTTCAAAGTGATAAGCTGCAAGTAATCAAATTAAAATCATGTGGCAAAAAGAATTAATACTGACAAGTATATTCCTGGTGTTCCCTCAAAATTAAAGCAAAATATATCTAGTCAAATTTATTCGTAACATGAAAATCCTAGAAAGGACTTGACAAGTTGAAAGTCGAACACATAAATAGCATTTACATATGATGCAACATCATGCGATATGAACTACGCTAATCATGAATCCAATCTCTAAAACCGATGACTGATCACAGAATTATAAAAGTAATTGTCTGAAAAGATTAAGTTTTAATTTATGGGATTAAATCTTGAGTAAATTGATGATGACAGTTCAGCCCTTGCATTGCAATGGCAACAATTCAAGTGTCCAATGAATTTTCAAGTTGTAAATTGTAATTCTTGAGCATAGATAAATGCTGATATATCATACTGCAATGTAGTGATTAAACTATTATTATTTGCAAAGAGGCATATATCAATTCTTGAACAGTCATTTTCATGCTCATACAGTCAAATACATACATCTTCTTTAAAGCTGCTGAACTACTGAGTTATTATGTTTCAAATTTATTTTCAAACATGACATAGTTGCATGCAATTATGCAAATAGCATAAAACTCATTTTAGCACCAAAAAATATCAATTCTCAGCACAAATTGCAACAATACCAAGCTAGTTAGTACTGTCTTCATTTACCGAGACCAAAAGTCTACTACCCACTAGCAATTATAATCTTCCAGACACCAAATTTTCTCCTTGAGCCATCCCTTCCATGTTCCCAAAAAATCCAATGATTAATGTAATATATTTCTTTCTGTGCAGAATGATGTAATATATCTTGAATGTGAGAGCATCTCTATATGAATAATGCACTCAAATTGCTTTTTATCTTAAACCTTGCAAAGAAATCATGATCAATCATGACAAATGAATAGTAAAGGAAAAGAAGAAATCTGGGGTAGCTAGAACTTAATCCATCAGTTAAATACTAATCAAATTTATTTGTTTGAAATTTTGAATGATTGTTGAATAGTTTATTCCTTGGCTAAACTGTTCTTTTGGAATAAGCAGCAACTGTTTGTTTTTTCTATTTCTCTATTTCCCAATAAAATAAAATAAACACACTTACACACACTCGCAGAAGATAAGTTAGGGAGAACAGAAAGACACGGAATGTTTAACTATTTGTTATCCATATACATATCCTATGGAGCTTAATCATGCATAGCATTTCAAAATGAAGCTAAAGCTATACGCGTTCACTGTAAATATGAAGGCAATGCATAGAATGATAGAAATTCTGCAGATTCATTGTAAATATCAAAATGGCAAGCCAAACTTCTTTTACTAAAATTTTTCTTGTGATGAATCTGTAAAGTAACTCGTGAGCATAAAATCATAGTTGCAGATTTCAAGCGTGAATTCAATTTGGTAGTGACTATTTGTTTTTTGCATAGTTAGAATTATTACAGTGAAGTATAGGGATTAAATAAATTTGTTTCACATATATGGACCAAAAATATCATATTTTTATCCTTAACACTTTTTCTCAAGCTCACAAGAATTCCATATCAATCTCACAGTCTGATAACCGCGAGAAAGGATAAGACAATTTTGAAAATATATATGGAGCCTAAGTTGAAATCTTTTATCTGTTAAAAATTAAATTGAAAATGATTATATATATATATATATTTAAACTAGCAAAGGACTAAAGTTTCATGAATCAAACAAGGTTGCAGGCCATAACGTGATTAAGTCTTTGGGCCCCGTTAGGTAGACAAAATCACGGAACAACTTGTGAAGGACTCCGTACAAATGGCCATAGCCAGATGCAACCCAATCTAATTCATAATCATACTCCTGTATTTGCTTAATACATTGGCAAATAATGTGTACCTCTTTTTGTTAAATTTTTTTCTCCCTCAGATTAGCCGTTTTATTTCATTGAAGAATTTGGCGTTGGTAAGGATTTATTCGTTTGCACAGAATTCTTAAGTGTAAGAAATTGCGTGCCAAAGATTTAATATTATGTGCTAATTCAAGTAAGGCTTAGGTATTTTAAATATTTAATAAGTTGAAATTTATTCATATAAAAATTCAATGTAAAAATGAGAATAATAAAAATAAATAAATAAAGCTAAAAAAATACATATGATATTTTTAAGTAATTATGTTATCATTGTGGTACTTTTAATTTGACCATTTATATATGATTTTATAGTTTATATTTGATATTTTTATAAGCTTATAATAAAAATTGTTTTCATAAAAATTATTATTATTATTGTTATTATTATTATTATATGAAAAATTTTTACACTAGTAAGTTTAAAAACTTTTATAATTAATCTGAGCCTTTAGTTTAACTTACATCTACTGGTCAATGAAGTAATAAATTTAATTCGTTGTATGTAAGTTAAATAAAAAAATTAAATTAAATATAAATTTTTTTAAACTTACATTAACGTAAGAAAATTCTTTCTGTATTTTTTTATATATATAGTAATATGTTTACTGAACCATAATAACTTTTTTTTTTCGTTTGTCAACATAAGGTTTTCAGTTGTAAATGTAAGATGGTGTACTTGTACTAGCTATAGCTAGTGTTTCTTTATCTTGGAGTCAAGATTAATATTTCTTTAATTAGAATGCACACAAAGTCAGGAGTACGTACACCGCTCTAAGAGGTCTCTTGGGACACAAAAAGTTGAATCCCAAACAATAATCTTCAATGTCAAGATTGAGAAGCTCGTTAGATTAACATGAAATTGAAAACTTCAAAGACAACGGAAGAAATACAATAGCAGATAGATAAATCAATAAATAAAAATAGTTCTGTTGCTTTGTCCTGTGAAGATCTAACCAGCCAACCATAACATTCCCCTTTGGACCACTCTTACTTGGCAGGTTTTTTTATAAGTCTCTCAGTTGAGTAAATAACTTCGGCAGTGAATTTTGATTTAAAGATATTACGTGAAAAACTTGCATTAATTTTTTATAGATAAAATTTCATCAGTTTAATCCTGATGAAATTATTTATTTTAGGAAGTACTAATTAATTTAGACAAACCCTTTCCTTGTATAGTGCTTCAAGGAACTAGGATTGTAATTTCTTTAAAGGAACTAGCATACACAAACAAAATGCTCATAACGAATAAAATTAAATCATTCAGAAAAAAATGTACTAAACCTATGATCATAAAGACAACATAAAGCAATGCCATGACAACATAAAAATCCCTTGTAAAATTATTGAATTTACCGAAATTATCAGATACACGAGATCATGAGCAATAAGAGACTCGTACTTTGTGTCTCCTTTGCTCAAATCCAACATAATTTAACTTGACAAAACCAACCCAACTAACAACTTTCAAACTTTATTGTCCTATTACTAATTTTCCTAACTAAATTGAATCTTCTTTCATAAAATTATGATTTGAAAACCAATCTCATAAGTAACGATCTGAGGGAAAGCCATGAAGCAGGCCATAAGATAAAGCCATGAGCAAGATTGCAGCCTCTTTCTCTTCCTTAGGGAAAACTTGTTGGAATGCCAAGTTCTTACTCAAGCTTATTGTCAAATCCTCAAATGTATTGAACCTCTTTCTATCTACACACGCTTTGGCTCCAAGTTTCCGCTTCTTTTTCAACTGTGGTGTGCACTCAGTTTTGGACTTCTTCGTCCCTTTGTTTCGAAACTTGCTTCCCTTCTTCACATGAGATTTCTCATTCTTAGCATCCATAAGAATCGTTCCATTTGCATTTGCAGCCGCGGCAATGGCATGTCTTGCCTTCCTTTGTCGAATCCCGCATGCGTTACAAAGTGACTGTTACACACCGAAACACATTTTCAACATAGTTTAGTTAGGATATATAATTGAAAGAATTCAATTGTTGATTCTAAATATTTCACTGGTAAGCTTTTATGTTATAAATTAAAATTAAAGAGTTTGTTTAATTGCTTTGTTGTGGATCAGTGTTGTTATTATATGTAGAGCTTAGTCATGAAAACAATAAATGAAAACATAGAGCTAATTAAGTATTTTTTTAAATCATTATTTTTCATGAAAAATAATAATCCATAGAGGAGGAAAGGAAAGAAAAGAAAAGAAAAGATTTGTATACCTTTGGACCTTTTGGTCCACTCCTCCAGAGAGGGGTCTTAGTGGTCTGGCAATCAGAACAAACCCTAACAGGGATGTTGCTGTTGTTTGAAGAAGAATTGTTGCTGCTATAATAAACTTCTTGAGGTGATAATAGTGATTTTTTCTCTTCATACTTCTTAGATGTGCCTACAATATCAAAACCTGATACCATCATTCTTCGCATCATTCTCATCTTTGAAGGCATCCACTTCACTGAACTATCTTCTCGTTGAAGATTTTCATACCCATCTTCTTTCTTCCATACCATCACCTTCAGATCACTTATTCTTTCATCCTTTTCCGCTGATGGATGATCCCATGATCTGCTAGAAGGAATAATCTTCTTGGCCTAAAGATCACCAGATCAAAATTGCCAAAATAAATATCTTAATTAGTATATAATAATTAAGTTAATGATCATGCAATATTTATTATACTACATATATGTATGTACTATATACATGGATCATAATCACCTCTTCATCACTTTGTAAATGCTTGGATTCCCAATAGCAAGATCCTCCTTGATCAATATCTGGGTTAAAGAATATAGAATAAGATAAAGAAGAAGATGAAGAAGAGGCTTGATGATTTGCACTAAAGAGCTGATGGGTGCGATCTTCATTAAGATCTAAAGGCATAGGAGAAGACACTGAATAACAATCAGTTGGTGTCATGGATTCGTACACATAAAACATAAACCAAGCCAAGAGAGAAGGGTGTGTGTGTGGAATGGATCAGTGTAGAAGCAGCTGCAGGGCCTAACTTTTGTCCAGTTTATAATAAAGATCGGGTTGGGAGAGAAGAAATAAAAGGCAAAAAGGTTCTGATTCTGAGCATTACTCACACACAAGCCATGGTAAAACTCGAAAAGAGCTAACACTACCTCAAGAGCTATCACTATAAGACATTCACGTGACTTTGAGACATCTAAAACAGACAAATTGAAAAGACAAACTGATTCAGCAGTGTGTGGAATGCTACTACGCTGACCCCATATGTATGACAAAAGTCCTCTATGCAGATTTTTTTTTACCACTGCTTAGTCTGCACAGACAGCACTACTAACCCTAGCAAGTTGATACTATAAACGATCTGTGGAAGAGATAGAATTTGATGGTAGCCACATATGATAGAGATAACGTAGTCACACATCCCAAACCAATAATTTGGTCACAGGAATAAATAATTAATCTTGTGGGTGAAGTTCTTTTCTGGCCAACATATATTAGTTTAGTCACATCTTAATATTATGGAGAGGAATATTGGAGCATAGAATCTGCTATTTTAGAAAAGAAAGAATGGGTCCAGTTATATGTAACCTGTGCAAGTTCAATTGGAAGTCTGGTTACTGTTATTATTCTTGTCAAGTTAATTTAGCAATGTAGGAGTTTGTGTTATATTCATTCATAATAATTGATATTAAATAGAAAATAATTTTTTTAACTTGTGCAATATAGTACATTATAAGATATTATATATAGTAACATTTTTTAATAAATTATAAAATTCAATGTAAATGAATGTATTGATACTACTAAATGTTATAATTTTTAATAAAATTTTGCTATATGCATTTTTTATGTTGCACAATGTTACGTATGTATGTTAAAAAATTTGAATAGATAAAATATTAAATTAGTTTTAATTCATGATTTTATGAAGCACTTATAACTAAAATATTCATAAAAAATATTTGATCAACGCATTAAAATTTTACAATTAAAATGATTAATATGTTTAAAAAATATTAATAATGTTATGTACTGTAGGTTTAAAGTTGAGTGAAATTTTATTTTACTCAATTTAAATTTGATAATCATACTTTTTTTTTTTTCAGCTAAGTGGAAGTCCCTACTATTGTAATTACCATTAGTGAAAAAAAGGCTTTTTACATCAGTTAAAAGAGGCCTTTTACATCGATTTCGTATCCAATGGAGATATAAATGATGTAGAAAGTTCAGGACTTTTTATATCGGTTGTTAAAAATTGATGTAAAAGTGTCACTTTCTACATCAGTTGTTTATAATATTTATAATAACCGATGTAAAAAAATGTTCTTAGAGTTCATCTTCATTAATGGCGTTAATATTTCTTTTCTTTTGAGAGTTTTAACGTTCATATCAATATTATTAATATATTTTCTTAAGTTAAATTAAAATTCATAAACGTCAATATTTATGGTGTTCGTCGTGTTCTTCATGTTCGTCGTATTAATTGTATTCATCGTGTTTGTTGTATTCATTATGTTTTATTATTATTTATTTTTGTTTAAATCTGAAACATAAAGAATATGTAACGTTCATTTAATCCTTTAATAAGGAAGGAGAAACAACAAAAAGTGAAATAACAAAAAAATGAAAGAAATTAAAATAATTGATGTACCTGTAAAACTTTTACATGTTCATTGTCTACCTAGCTAAGAGAAAAAAGTTTTAGAAACTTAAGAAAAATCTGTGTTTAAGTCTCCAATTATGTTATTTCTCTGGCACGTATCTAAATATTTGAAATTTGAATTGATTCTATATCAGTTCTAAAAAATAACCGATGTAAAATGTACATTTTTCATTGGTTGTTTTAACAACCGATGTAGAAAAGTTTACATAAATTTTAAAAATATTACCACATTTTTTTTACATCGATTATTTTTACAACTGATGTAGAAAATACTTTTTACATTAGTTCTTGACAACCGATGTAAAAAAGTTTATAAAAATTTTAAAAATATCACCGTATCTTTTTTTACCTTGTTTCACAAAGAACCAAGGTAAAATCTTATTGTAAAAAATATTTTTTATACTAGTGTTATTAACCTAAATTGCACGTTACAAGGTGTCCTAAAGTTGAAATTTAAGATTCATGATAATCTATCCTTTATTTATTTCACATAAATATAAAATTATTATATTTATCTATCTATTTATATGCAGAAAATTTATGAAATATTCAAATTAAATTCTATATAGCTCAACTTTACTTCATCTATTTAACACCTCAAATTTTTAATTCAAGCTTTACTCATTTAGTTCATGAAAGTTTATAAACCTAATCAATATCAAGGGTGAGACTACTGTAGCGCATTGGTGAACATATTACTCTAGGTGACAAACTGTGGGTGTATCTCATATCTCAGGACACAAGTCAGACCTTGCACTATAATGAGTAACAATAATGAAACTATAGATACACATATATAGTGTAATGAGGTTGGCCTATTTTTGTAGGGATCTAAGAATGTAGGTAATCACAGTCAAAACTCTAATAAATACACCCATCTAGCATTATATAGAGCTATATGTAACCATTGAAGGTTGTGGATCCCATGGTGCCAAAAGTGTAATAATTGGCAGGTTGCAATCCCTTGATGCAGGTATATTATGAAATGTTGTTGGAGGTTGCAAGTACTAAAGTTTAAGTTAGTCTCGAATTGTGTGCTCAATCCATTAGCGCATTGGACTAATCATGTCAAAAATTATTTTTTTAAGATAAATCAATATTTACTTTTCATAATAGTAAAAAAAATATTTACTTTTCACAATTTGATTTCTTTGAATAACATTAATTTAGGAATTATTCTGTTAATTATTTTCCTTGACAAGTTAACAAAAAAAACCGATTAGTCAAGTAATTGATTAACTTAAATAATTTAATTAGTTAGTTCAATTTAAAAATTTATTGATCAATTACTATATAAAATATGTCAAAATTGTTATAACAGTAAGTAATAATAATGTTTATGATAATAACAGTAATAATGATAATAATAGAAAAAAAATGTGTGTCACATATAAGAGTAAGGAATTTATAATTCTTTAAGTTGTTAGTTAAGAATTGACAATGGTTTAATATAAATATTTTGACATTCCATAGAATTGTCATTAAATTTATGACTGTAACAAAAAAGTTAGAATTAACAGGCTCAATTTTAATTTTAAATTTCTATTCTATGTTAAATTCTAGATGGTAAACAAACACTCTAAGATTGACAACTTTCAAATTTTGAAATATGGGCTACAGGCAATGTTAGGATGAATGGCTTTGTAGGATCATTCATTTGAATCAAACAGTGATAAAAAATTTAAATAGTTTGTATATTACTATAGTTTTAAATTTCACTGTGATCATTGTTAGTGTTCTAAGTTTGATCATATAGAAGGCTTAAACTAACAATCAACCATATTTTTTATTTTGGGTCACCTTACAATCAATGACATTAAGCCACACATTACTCGCTTTCTAACTATGTGGAATGTACCATTTGATGCTCGCCAAGTGCCTCAGCTTTTAGCGACAAAATTAATGTCATCATTCTTACTATTCCAGCCATTTTTGGTGCATTCATGGGCCAAAATGGATTTGTGGAAAAAAACAAAGCAAGCAATAGGGGTAACATCAGTTTTAAATAATATGTAATGAAAAAAATAATTTAAGTTGACTAAAAACTTGTTTGGATGAAAATATATTTTAAAATCAGTTTTACAAAACTGGTTTTATTAAAACTAAACTAGTTTTAACACAAGAAAGTTGAAAATATTTCAAATTCAATCTTTATAATTAGTTTCTAAATGAATTTTGTTTGACTTTAAATTAAATTAACATGTGATTTTAAATTTGAATCTTATTAAATATAACAATAAAAAAGATAAATCTGACTCATCTTTGATTATGGTGAAAATTACTCTTAAGAACTTTATAGTAATTTTTTTTCATTGCAAAGCAGCATAAGAAACTTGGAAAATGTGTTATTCATGGCTAGGCTTTGATATTGTTATGTCAAGGGATTGAAAAGTCTATTAATGCATAATGGCGCGGCGGTGAGAAGGAAGGAATGTGAATTTGTATGGAATGCAAATAGATGACTGTTGTATGGTCAATTTGGGTTGGCAGAAATAAGAAAGTTTTAGTAACTCTAAGTTTAATGTAGAAGAAGTAATTTACATGATAAAGTTTAGGTCATAGCTGTGGCTTGAAGAGAAATGCACACAAGGGAAGTTGTCTTTCATTGAATGCTATTGTGGGAAAAAAGCAACCTATTGAGGTTGGCTTGAATTTTACAAAATATGAAAGAATGAAGGTAATGACATGTGATTATAAGAAATTATTAGGTGCTACACATTCAACTAACACATTATTACTTTATATATAAGTATGTATTTTAGTATATTTTAATAGTTTATATATTTATATGTGACTATTATTTTACACTAATTTATATATTAATTATGAATTTTAATATAAAAAAGTCATAGTTGAGTTTTAGGTGTATTTTGGGTCCAAATTAATTAAAAAATGGGGCTTTGCAGCCTCCAAAGCACCTATACCATAGTAGGTAGCATGAGGGTACTTTGAAGACATGCATGATTGTGCTTATGGCATTACACAGTTGTGCTTACTTGCGGGAAGTTCAACTCTAAAGAAATTTTATAAGAGACTTCAAGGGCAATGACGAATCATCCAATTTTTCATATTTCACTTTCAGCTTTTATTTCATCCCTTTCTTGTTTTTTATACATCTCTTTCACATCTCAAATCTTGGTTTTGGCTAGTTGCTAACGTTTATTGAAACTTTGAGAACGCATATTAAATCAAAAGCTCTTCTTTATTGGAGACTTCTTTAATTTGTATTTACTTTTTTAATTCTAATTAAATTCATAGTTAGAGCTATGGTAAATTCTTTGTATAACTTTATGAAATATTTTTATTAATAACAATTTCATGTTTCTTTTCTTGATTGATGTTTACCCTATTAGCTATATTTGTATGTTTATAATTGACAACTCTTAAACATGTCATAGTTAATTATATTATAGACAATTGTACCATATATAGTTAATGAATTTA